TAGACGTTCAAGGACGGGTTATCTACTCATGCTTGGACGTGCTCCTATTTCATGGAAAACTAGGAAGCAATTAGTAGTTTCATGCTCATCCGCTGAGGCTGAATACCATGCCTTGGCATCTATCATTAGTGAAATTTTGTGGGTTCGTTGGCTTCTCAAGGATTTGCAAGTTTACATTAATACCCTACCATTTTATATTGTGACAATCAGACTGCACGACACATTGCAAACAATTTTGTCTTCCATGAATGGACAAAACATGTTGAAATGGATTGGTTTTTTTTCGTAAAAGGGTTGCCTCTAAAGAAGTTTACCAATGCAGATAGACAGCAAAATGCAAGTAGCAGATCTTTTAACCAAAGGCTTAGGCACAACTCAGTTTTAGTTTCTACTTGGGAAGATGGGCATTATCAAATTACATGCTCAAATCTTGAGGGGAGTATTTGATTATATTTATCATGTTTATTGTTTTATATTTATCCCATATGTTTAGATATTAGTTGTTATCACCTCACGTAAACTATATAAGCCTTTGGATGCTTTTCACTCAATAAGAAATCAATACCTACTGATACCATCAAATTCTAGATAGTTTGATTATATAATTCCACATCGTATATTTATATTTGATCATTTTTATAAGTATAAAACATATAAAATTTGAGTATTTATAAAAATTATATTTCGTATAAATGCTTGGGAAATTGATCATTTATTTTTCATACATATTATAGTTGTTTATAAGATACGTGATTTATACTCATATATATACCTAAATATGTCCTTATAACAATTATTGTTATTTCCGTCGTCTATTTTAAAATTAGCGAATTTACTCTCTAGAAATATTTTGTACATGTCCGTTTGTTCGTGATGATTCCAAGAATATAACCGGAATTAAATTCCTACATATGGAACAAATATCATTCAAGTTTCACTTAAATCAGATTCTGGTTCAACTGTTTCCACTTGTTTGATTTCGTTTCATGTTAAAAGTATTACGGAACTTTGAAATCAAATATTATTTCTAAACCTAAGCATCAATGGATTAAACTGTCAACAATTTAAAATGAATGGCTTAAATTGTTTCTAATAATCGGTAAACACATCATAGATTCTGTTAAAATAACATTGTTGGTGGTTGACCGACAAATCTTGGACTAATTTTAACAATTGTTACAAACGGCCTGAAGTTGGCGAGTGAAGTTTTTACTGCTTGAAGGTCTTGCGCCCAATATTTGTTGAGTTAGTGGAGGTAAATAGACCCAACCATAAGGCTGGTTTGTTGGTGCCAACGAGTAGGACTGAGAAGGTTGTTGAAGCAGTCCGTTGGTAGGATGTTGGCTGTTGTTAAAGGACTGCTGTCGGCGGTTGTTGTTGTGCTGCTGGCAACGGTCTTTTGATGGATGTCGATGGTCATTCTGGTGGCCCGAGCAGTGATTTCCTCCGAAGTGAAGAACATTAGATGAAGAGGAGTTGTTTGTGTGAGCCGGAACTCGAGAGTGACGAGGATTGTTGAGGCGGGTTTCTTCTAGTTCAAGCATGGAACATACTTCTGAAAAAGTAGGAAACGAAACACGGTGGCATATGAGAGTGGCGATATTATCAAATAGAGTAGAAATATCATTGATTGTGTAGATAATAAGGTGCTTGTCTTCAATCTTCGATCTTGCATCCAAGTTTGCAAGAAGATCAGCAATGCTTTGAACTTTGGTGTAATAGGCTTGAGCGAATAGATCTCCCAAGGAGATGGAACACATTTCACTGTCAAGCTGCATAATCCATGATTCTTTGTTGTCTTGGAAACGTTTTTCAGTTAGTGAGCCACAATTGACGTGCCAGAGCCTTGGTTTTGAGCCCAGTGTTGACAATATTTTGGGATAGGATCATGTAGATCTACGTTTTGACCACTGCATCAACCTTTTTCCACTTAGAGTAGTGGGTTTGGATTCATAATCGTGAATGCGATCTAAAGTGTCATAGGCCTGACAATGGATAGTACGAAATTCTCGCCATAGGTCGTAGTTATGGCGTTTCATGTCAAGAATGGGAATATGTGTCTTGATATTGGCGACAATGAATGCTTTATTAGTGGTGGTGGTAGAGGAGGATCTGTCCTACATGATGACAGATACCGACTGCTAGGGTTACATACTAAAGAAGAGACATCGTGGGGAAGGAGGAAAACGAATCGTAGATTAAGGAGAAGGTTTAGGAGGGAATGTTGACTTTCTCTGATACCTTGAAGAGAAATGTCTCCCTTGAATCATTCAAAAAACATATAAAGCATATATGTCCTAATACAATAAACGACATTGGTCTACATTAGAACAACAGGTTGTGAGACCCAAAAAAGTTAAATACAAAGTTAAAATATTTGAAAACTTTGAATTTATAAGAAAATAAGAAAAATAATGAATTATTATAATGGAAATGTTTTTTATCTTTTAAATTTAAATAAATAAAAGAAATTAATAAGCTTTAATTTTGAGAATTTTGAAATTAAAAGGTAAGTTCATTAATAAAATTGATATTCATTTATTACTACATTCATTGCAATTATTACATTAAAATATTATGTGAAATTTAATAAAATAGAAAAACTTATAAAATAATAACATGTGGAAAAAGAATTAATTCAAAATAACTACACAATAACATTTGGCAAATTGAATTAGAATATGACAAGTGACAGAAAAATCAATCATTTATTAGAGAGGATATACAAGGGCTAGATATACATGGTCTAAATACAACTAAATACATATACACTAACAAAATATATATATATATATATATATATATATATATATATATATATATATAAAACATAATTTGATAAATATATAACAAAAAATATTAAGCTATTCTATTTTCATGTCTCATGAGTTCATATATCCAAATACGTTTTTTTTTTTAAATTTGGTTTTGATAAAAGATAAATTGATAAAAATGTTTAGAAAAGGACCATGTGTTGCTTGAAATAAGCAAATCCAACACCCATAAATAGACTAAGGTCCTTATTTTTTTATAAGGGCTTAGGCCATCTAGGATATCTTGAAATCTGTAGATTTCAAAGGAGTATCACATCATCATTCATTATTCCATATAATTTTGTTTATTTTTATCTCACAATACATTAAATTCTATAAGTTCGATGGAACATAATAAAAAATAACCGTTATTTATTTAATAGCTAAGAATACATTAATAAAAATTTAAAAAATAATAAAAAACTGAAAAAGGCATTCATTAAGAAAAAACAAAGAAATACAATAATTAAAAGACATTAACTAAAATTAAAATAACTAAAAAGGTATAATAACTAAAAAATATTATATTTTATTTTGATCTCCATATAACGATTTCTCGATATATATTGTCCCTCCTCTGACATGGTATTTAGGTCCAAAAAGAAGATTGACAGCTCGTCATATTTGAAATTTTTTGTTTAACTTTAATCATTTCTTGTTTTTATGTATTTTTTTAATCCAAAGATTTCTAGTAGCTTTCATAGTTTTTTTTTTATTATTATATCTTGCACATGTTTTTTCATGTATTTCATCAAGTCGACTACTTAATGACGAGTTAGACTTGGAAGCCTTTCCTTTTACATATTTTTTGGTTGCCTTCATACCAATTTGACGAGTTGCATCTTTGTTATCATCCAAGTTGATAAAAGATAGTGCATTAGATGAAGATCCAGATGCCTCAGATGTACCGCTCGCGACATTCCATTTAGGTTCATTTTTGACTAAATTCAAAATATGATTATGCCTGAAATCTATAAAATATCTTCCACTATGTTGGTCAAAAGCTTCCTTTTTTAAATCTTCATTAGACAATCCGCTTAGGTGTTGGCTTTTCAACACTAAATAAATTTGATTGAATGCAACAACTACCGTTGCCAATGTGTTTTAATATTTGTTTGAGCTCTTATAGTGCCCGCCATGTTGGAACTTTGGTAGTATCTGTTGATATGTTGCCAAACTCCTTGTCACGTTGTGTTGTGCCCTCGATGCTATCTTTTGATATATGTAACCATGCTTTTGCAAGCAATATTTCTTCTTCCCTACGCCAAAAGGTTTCTTAGACTTGGATCGTTTGTTGGTGGGAGTAACTTCTGAAGTAGGTTCCATATTTTGAGTGATGTTTGGATACTGATTTTGAGAAGGTTTTGGGCGTGGATGATTTGGGTTTGGAGAAATTGGAGATGAAGAAGTTGGATATACAGGATTGATTGGATTTTTGAGATCATTGGAATTTAACATGTTTGTGTAATAATAAGAATTCATGATTTAAGTATGGAAAGTGCGAATGAGATTATATAATGAAAATCATCACATTAGACGTTTTTGTAGGAAAAATGTTATCCGCCCTTTCAAATATCAACACTTTGCATAAAGTGATGATATTTTTCCTAAAATGTTCAATATTCTCCATATATTCTATATGAAATTTCAAAGACTTTGCATAAATTAAAGTTTCAAGTAATTTGAATGACATTTAATTATAAATTCATTTATCATTATTAATTTCAATTTCATTAATATAATAATTTACATTTCTCCTTGTTAACACAGACTTCAAATATGGAAGAGAATCAACAATAATTAAATTATCGTTTGAGTCAAATATTTTGATATATCATATTTCATCAAAATGGTTTTCATTCAAATATATATTTTTATATTTTGTAATCAAATCATATTGTATTTTTAAAATTTGAGATTATTTTCATGCAAATACTATCTTGGATGGGATATATACAAATCCAATATTATTTTCAACCAAATATTATATTTTGTATTCTAAAATTAAATAATATAATATTTTCAAATCTTATAATATTTTCATCCAAATATTATGGTTTGTATGAATTAAATCTTGTAGTATTTTCAACGAAATATATTTATATTTTGAATTAAGTTTTAGTGGATGATTAAATTAATTATTTTGACATATATAATTATTTGTATACATAAGTGCAGAAGAAACTTTTAGTTCCTTGACAGCATAAATATTTCCTCGACAAGTTTTTGCACATTCAAGGAAGATGAACCACTGGGACCTGTCGCAGCGTAAGCCTTTTCCTTCCACTCCATGGCCTTCTTCCTCATACGGTGACTTTCTTCTCCGAGCATCAAGTCATGTACAAGCTTACTGACTTCCTCCCTTTTAACGTCCTTTACCATCTCCAGTCCAACCTCCCATTCCTTACATATATACCTACAATTAGTCGGCTGATCCCACCCATAAGGCCAACAAATCATTGGTACCCCAGCCGACAAGCTCTCAATTGTGGAACCCCAACCACCGTGAGTCAAGAACCCTCCGATGGAAGGGTGCTCCAGGACTTTTTCTTGTGGGCACCAGCTTGCTATGAAACCCTTCTCTTTAATATACTCCTCAAATTCAGGTGGCAAAACTGAGGATTCTCCGACAACAACACCGGATCTAATTATCCAAAGGAAATATTGGTTACTATTTGCAAGTCCCCAACCGAATTCTGTAAGATCTTCTAAGGACATTACTGTTGAACTCCCAAAGTTAACATAAATCACAGACTTTGGTTCCTTGGATTCGAGCCACTGTAAACACTCTGGTTCTTCTTTCCATAAGCTGTATCCTTTGAAATTTGACATTGTGGCTTGCTTTTCATCTGCCGGAATCCGATTAAGAAGTAACTGTACAGGTCCCACTGTGTAAACGTGAGGAATCGTGGATGAAAGAGCATCAACAATACTAGTTTCCAGTGTGTCAAATGTGTGAATAATATTGTATTCAACACTGTGGGCCTTTTGTGTAGCGTCAGTACAGAATGTAAGAATTTTGTCGTGAGGGTTTGTTGTTCTTATGTTGCTGGGAAAATGCTTTAGCTGGATTCCTTTCATTCCTGGAATCCAATCTATAATGGTTTCTAAATACCCGTTTGTCAAGTAACTTTCATCTGTATACAAGAATGACGGCAGTTCTTTTATTTTGTACATATAAAGAGAAAGAAACATATCTAGAACACACGCAATTAAAAACCAAACCTTTAAGTGGTATAAAACCTTTCTCGATGAGAGATTTGGTCTGGTAAAAACCCATGAAGCCACAAGCGGCAACAGTCCAGTATGTAAATGTAATTCAGAATATTAAAAGTTTGTATATAAGTCTAATTAGGAATTAGGAAGTTTTGCTTGGTCAACAAGTCTAGGAAAGTAGAGGTCACGTTTTTTTCCTATATATAGGTGTAATTATTTACTTTTTCTTAGATGAAGAACTTGAGCCTTAAGCATTAAAAAAGTTTTCTCCTTGCTCCATATTTTTTTCCCAGCACGTTTTTTTCCCTTGCTGTCTATTGTCCTTCTTTGTTTGTTTTGCTTTCTTCCTGCTTTGTTTTGATTCATAATAGCAGATTAAAGCAAGCAAATTATCATTGTTTAAGAAGTTTTAACCAACATTTGGTATCAGAGCGAATCTGGTGCGATGTCGAACAAAGAAGGATCGGTTACTCTTCAATACCCAATGCTGTTTAAGACGAATTACGCAGCATGGTCGATAAAGATGAAGATTTATATGCAAGCTCAAGAGGTGTGGGAAGCCATAGAGCCGAAGAACCCACAAAATCCGGTGGGTGTAAAGAGAGACAAGATGGCGATGGCTGCCATCTACCAAGCAATTCCTGAGGAGGTTCTATTGACAATTGCGGAGAAGCAAACGGCAAAGGAAGCTTGGGAAACACTCAAGACGATGTACTTGGGAGCAGATCGAGTCAAAACAGCCAAAGTTCAAACTCTCAAAGCTGAATTTGAGATGATGAACATGAGTGAATCAGAGACCGTGGACGATTTTTCTACAAAACTTGGAGGTATTGTGAGCAATATTCGTGCTCTTGGTGAAACCGTTCAAGAATCCTACATAGTAAAAAAGTTATTACGAGCCGTGCCTTCCAAATTTGTTCAACTTGCATCAACAATTGAACAATTTGGAGATCTAGACGAGATGACGTTTGAAGAGGTGGTCGGAAGATTAAAAGCTCATGAGATTCGTATTGGGGCTCATAAAGAACCCGAGGAGAAGAAGCTATTGTTAACGCATGAAGAGTGGACGGAACGAGCAAAGAAGAAAATTAATGAAGATCGTTCAAAACAACGCAAAAACAATTATAACAATAATCGAGGTGGAAAAGGACGAGGACAAGGAAAAGGTGGTTACAACAACTCCAACAAAGGACGAGGTGGTGGTAATCAACAAAACAAAGGAAAGAATGAATCGTATCAACCTCGTGACAAATCAAAAGTTCAATGTTATAATTGTCAAGAGTTTGGTCATTACGCTGCTGAGTGTAAGAACCCACGTCGTGAGAGGAATCATGAAGCTAACCTAACTCAAGGACAGAATGATCATGAGCCGGCACTTCTGCTTGCAGCCCAAGTAAACGATGAAGTTTACTTGAATGAGGAAAAAGTTAATCCCAAGCTAAGATCAAGTGAACAAACTCCAACCCAATCAAAAGTGTGGTATCTCGACAATGGAGCAAGCAACCACATGACTGGCGAAAAAAGCAAATTCCGAACACTTGATCTGTCTACTAGAGGTTATGTGAAATTTGGTGATGGATCTAAAGTTCGAATAGAGGGGAAGGGTTCAATCATGTTCAAATGCAAGAATGGTGAAAGTAGATTGTTGAAAGAGGTATACTATATACCAAGGTTATGTAGCAACATTATTAGTTTGGGACAATTAGCTCAACATGGAGATCGGATTGTGATGCTTGGATTATATTTATGGATTCATGATCCACAAGGAAAACTATTATTGAAGGTTCAACAATCAAGTAATCGTTTGTACAAGGCCATACTTGAAGAAGAAGTTTCAAAGTGCTTACTTGCAGAACAAGGCGAGGCATCTTGGCTATGGCACAAGCGGTTTGGACATGTTAACTTCAATGCACTAAAACACATGGCTGATACAAGTATGGTGGAAGGCTTACCCAGAATTGAAATTCCTACAAGCTTGTGTGAAGCTTGCTTAATCTCCAAGCAAGCTCGAAAATCCTATCCAAAGCACACCAAATTTAGAGCTAAAGAACGACTAGAACTCGTGCATGGAGATCTTTGTGGTCCGATCACACCACCAACACCAGCTGGAAATAGATATTTTATGTTACTTGTCGATGACTATACACGAGTTATGTGGGTTTATATGTTGAAAAACAAGGATGACGCTTTAATTGCTTTTAAGAAATTTAGAGCACAAGTTGAAGTTGAAACGGGTTTAAAATTAAAAAACTTTCGAACCGACCGGGGTGGTGAATTTTTATCAACACAATTCACTACATATTGTGAAGAAACCGGGTTGAAACGCCACTATACAACACCATATTCCCCTCAACAAAACGGTGTTGTAGAAAGACGCAACCGAACAGTAGTAGAGATGGCGAGAAGCAATCTAAAAGGGATGAATGTTCCAGAAGTCCTATGGGGTGAAGCCGTAAGTCACTCAGTCTACATCCTAAATCGTATAACCACAAAAGCCTTAAAAGAGTCAACACCTTACGAGCTATGGACCGGTCGAAAGCCAAACATTGATCATATGAGAGTTTTTGGGTGTGTTGCTTATGCAAAAATAGTTGGCACACATCTAAAAAAACTAGATGATAGAAGTAAGAAGCTAGTACACTTGGGAGTTGAAAAAGGTACAAAAGGTTATCGGCTACTTGATCCGGAAACCGGAGCAATTCGAGTGGGAAGAGATGTAATTCTCGAAGAAGATGCTAAGTGGGAGTGGGGACCTACAACAAAGTTCAAAACCATGACAAATGAAACATTCACCTTTGATATCATGCTTGATATTGAAGCTGAACAGGAAGAAGATATCCATCCAGATTTTAATGAAGAATATACACCACACGATAGCCCGGTTACACCTCAATCATCACTTGATAGTTCATCCGAAAGTGAAGCTCCACAAAGATATCGTAGTTTGGCCGATATTTACGAAGAAAGTGATGAACTTATGTTTTTACAAGACGAAGAAGAACCAGTAAATTTCTCAAGTGCAAGTGAAAGTGAAGAATGGATGGAAGCTATGAAAAGTTAGTTAAGTGCAATTGAGAAAAATAAAACATGGAGTTTAGTTGAGTTGCCAAAGGATAGAAGACCCATTGGCTTAAAGTGGGTGTACAAGATCAAACGAGACCCGAATGGAAAAATATTAAAATATAAAGCAAGGCTAGTCGCTAAAGGCTACGTACAAAAACAAGGCATAGATTTTGATGAAGTGTTCGCACCGGTTGCTCGTTTGGAAACCATTCGAATCATACTTGCTCTTGCTGCTTCAAATCAATGGAATGTACATCACCTTGATGTAAAATCAGCTTTCTTAAATGGCAATCTAGAAGAAGAAGTTTATGTGACACAACCGGAGGGATTCGTGAAGAAAGATAAACCAAAAATGGTGTACAAATTAGCAAAAGCTTTGTATGGTTTGCGCCAAGCTCCACGAGCTTGGAATTTTCGCTTAAACCAATGCATGAAAGAGATGGGGTTTGAAAGGTGTCCACAAGAGTATGCAGTTTACACGAAGAAAAACAAGGGGAGCATACTAATAATTGGTGTCTATGTTGATGATCTAATTGTCACCGGAAGTCACAAGGATGAGATAATCAAGTTCAAACAACAAATGAGCAAGGAGTTTGAAATGAGTGACCTTGGGATGCTAACTTACTATTTAGGCATCGAGGTTAATCAACATAAAAATGGTCTCACATTGAGACAAACGAATTATGCTAACACCATCCTAAAGAAGGCCGGGATGTTTGATTGTAATCCTTGCAGGTACCCCATGGAGTCAAAGCTACAATTGACTAAGGATGAAGAAGGTGAACTCGTGGACCCTACCTCATATCGAAGCATCATAGGAGGGCTAAGATATCTTACTCACACACGACCCGACATAGCTTATTCTGTAGGCATTGTGAGTCGTTTCATGGAGAAACCAACCAAGCAACATCAAGTAGCAGTGAAGCACATACTAAGGTATGTAAAAGGAACTGTGGACTATGGTTTATCATATACGAAAGGTGGAAAGAATTGCGTGATTGGATACACTGATAGTGATCTAGCAAGAGATGTTGAAGATAGAAAAAGTACAAGTGGAATGGCGTTTTACTTAGACAACAATCTTGTTACTTGGAGTTCACAAAAGCAAAAGTGTGTTGCATTGTCATCATGTGAAGCAGAATTTATGGCAGCTAATAATGCAACATGTCAAGGCATTTGGATAAGTAGGTTGCTTGGTGTGTTGACCGGAAGAAAACTTGGTCCATTTGAATTGAATGTGGATAACAAGTCAGCTTTGGATTTGATGAAAAATCCAGTCTTTCATGGAAGAAGTAAACATATTGATACAAGATATCACTTCATTCGTGATCATATAGAAAGAGGCAATGTTATAGTAAAACATGTGAATACTAATGAGCAGAAAGCTGACATCTTGACCAAGCCTATGAACAAAGTGAAGTTTGAAAGCATGAGAAAGTTGCTTGGAGTTGAAGAGATAAGAGTTTCTGAATTACAGGGGAGAATGTAAATGTAATTCAGAATATTAAAAGTTTGTATATAAGTCTAATTAGGAATTAGGAAGTTTTGCTTGGTCAACAAGTCTAGGAAAGTAGAGGTCACGTTTTTTTCCTATATATAGGTGTAATTATTTACTTTTTCTTAGATGAAGAACTTGAGCCTTAAGCATTAAAAAAGTTTTCTCCTTGCTCCATATTTTTTTCCCAGCACGTTTTTTTCCCTTGCTGTCTATTGTCCTTCTTTGTTTGTTTTGCTTTCTTCCTGCTTTGTTTTGATTCATAATAGCAGATTAAAGCAAGCAAATTATCATTGTTTAAGAAGTTTTAACCAACACAGTAGAGCATGATAGGGATCCCGAGCTCTTGTGATGCATCAATGGTGAAAGCCGATATGAAGCCATCAGAGATGATAAGAGTTGGTGGAGTTGGAAGTTTCATTGCAAGTTCAACGAAAGGAGCTAAAAAGGTAGTTTCAATATGATGAAGGAGCAGGTGTGCTGCAGGTTCCTCTTCAGAAATCCGAGGAATGCTGTCAGGAATTGTTGCAAATCGGAAACCATCTGAGCCATCGAGGGTGTGGGCACCACCAGAGTTGACCAACCGCTCGTGGATGAACTCTGTATTAACGAAAGTAATTTGGGGTCCCTTGTGGTGAAGAAGCTGCGCTAGTTTGAGCATGGCCTTTACATGGCTTTGTGCAGGTAATGGAATAAAGATGACATGAGGCTTCTTTTCAGTTGTTGCCACTGTATCCATTCTGCTATGTCTGTTTTCAAAGGGATTGCGGTGTATATATGGGCATCTTAATGGACGGCTAAGAATAGTACAATAAGATAAATATTATAATTGATTAACTGAAACTGTTTTCAAAGGGATTGTGGTGTAATATTTAAGTAGCTGTAGTGTTGTTTCACTACAAGAAATGAGAGTATTACCGGCGAGCGTCGCCGCTAAAGGGTCGCGCTGTTGGCTCGTCGCTGATGCTCCATTCGTCGCCGCTAAAGTTGCGTCGCCGCTAATGCTCTCCGTCACCACTAAAGGCGTCGCCGCTATTAATATGTATTTCTATCCATACAAATACACATATACATACATAATACACATACAAAATGACATATACATACGGAAATACATACACATACATATACATAAAAATACATATATACATAGAATTGCACATACAAAAACAAATATACATACATAAAATACATTCAAAATACATATATACATACAAATGCACATCAAAATATACATCCATATCTACAAACACAAAATACATATATATATACACATCTACAACATCAAAATACACATATACATACACATACAAATACACATCCATATCTCAATGCTAGAAATTTAGTAAGGATAAGTGAAAAGGAAAAGGAAAAGGAGAAAAATGGAGCAGAGATTGGTGAAATTGCGAAATTTTTTGTGAAATTCTGTTGAGGTCGACGACGATGGTGAGCAGACAGAAGAAGGGAGCACATAGAAAAATGGAGCAGAGAGGGGTTTTATTGTCGACGGCCTTTAGTGGCGACGCGTACTCATTAGCGGTGACAAATGGGAGGGAAAACAACGTGGGGTTTTCTACGTCGTTGGATCATCGCTTAAATCGACGGATGTGATTGAAATGATGCGGATCACCAAAATAAGCCTTTAGCGGCGATGCCTTTAGCAGCGACGCACACTCTTTAGCGGCGACACACCGGAGGGAAAACAACGCGGGATTTCTTATGTCATCCTAGTCGTAGGATCATCTTTTAAATCGACGAATGGGATTGAAATGACGCGAATCGCCAAAATAACCTTTTAGCGGCGACAGAGACTTTTAGCGGCGACAAAAAATGCGTTTGTTTTTTGTCGCCGCTAAAGTCTCTGTCGCCGCAAAAGGCGTCGCTGCTATTGCCGGTTATTCCTGTAGTGTTTGATTATGGCTTGTCTGTATCGCTAAATATGTTCTAATTACATGTAAATCTAGAAGAAGTTATGCTGATGTTAAATTCAATATGTAAAGTGGTCCAAGTTTGAATAAAAGCTTAAAATTTGAGAAAATATTTCATGTTTGATAACGAATTGAACGGTCCAAAATGTGCGTCCAAATTGTAGATGTTTATACAAGGCTAATATTGATGCATGATGGATTGAAAAATACAAGTTGAGGACAAGATTGAGTGGAAGGGCTTGATATGTATTAAGGATCATTAAAAAAACGATACAATGTAAATCCGAACCCGGAAAAACTTCAACATGGTGTATACACCCAAATATGCAACCAAAAACAAACTACACATATCATTTTTACAAAACATTGAAATCCATAAAATTCAATGATTGCGATATCATTATTTTACATTTCATACAACCCTATCATTTTTTTCAACAATGCTTTAAACTCTACAAAGTTCAATAAAACTTTACGAAAACCAATTTATAACATACATTTAAGAATTATAAACATTCCCATTTTTCTACATAAGAGTGTAGTAACCATTGAACTCCAAATCTATTAAATGCCAATGTGAGATTTGAAAATAATAGAGTTTCATCCATTGAAAAATAGACTTGTCACCTCATTCTTATCTCCTATTGAACTCTCCATTGTGAATGCTATTATTTTGTATTATGTACAATATGTAATGCCCACTGCCAAGGAAGAATGAACCATGCAAGTTGAGGTTGGCCATATTCGTTAGTATTGTCTCCGATGGATTTTCAGGGGAAAGTTGTCTTTCGTAAAATAGCTCTAGGTAAATGTTAGTCACGAATTTTCGACAGAATGTTTTGTCGCGAATATACCGACAAAACACGTTTGGCATGGTTTGACCTAATCTGTGTGATAAGGTGCCCAACTATGTGTACGTAAGAGGTAGTTATTTCTGCCTGAGAGGATGATAAGGAGTCAAAAGTCTATTTGATAAGGCGATCAATTAGAAACTCTTTCTAACTGAGAGGCTTATACTTCCCTATCATCCTGCATCCTATCTATATAACACTCCTTAAGCGTATTCTTAAAACCCACAAAGATGCTCTAGTCCTTGAGTGGATACCATCGCTACGACCTTTACTATTACGCACATGTTGCATTTCATAAAACAAGAACAGTGATATCTAATATAATATCTGTCACACCCCCAGCCGTCGGCAGAAACGTCGAGGTGCGAGACGTAAATCATTGATCAAAGTTATTGAACATATAAAGTTATTGAATATATATTGAACAGTACAAATATAATCTTCTATTATTACCGAAAAATAAATTACATCGACAATGGCTATTACTAAGTCATAAAACACGCCTAACAATTTAGCGATCACAAAAGTACACTACAATACCAGTAAGTCTTCTATGCAAACTCTTCTGAATTGCTATTAAACCCGAGAATACATGCATTAAGATACGTCAACAAAATTGTTGGTGAGTTCTACAGATATTGACACAAATTATTTTCATAACAAAAGCGTTTTCAAAAATTTATCTGGTGACCTAGCTTTTATAAATACACACTTTTCTATCAAAGGTAAAAAAATAAATGAGTTGCAAAGGTGTATTTGGACTCATTTCGAAGTATCGTTTGTTCAAGTTTGAAAGTACAAAATTTGGTGAATATATAAGTAAATCAAACTTACATAAAAGTTTGACGGTTCACATGACTAAAATCCATTTTTATATAAAGATTTTGAATACCAATTTATATAAAAATACGACACGTTACTCTTTGTGTAAACATAACATAACCAACTTTACTCTTGTAGTTTCGTACAAGCAATTTATTATAGTTTATATGTAAAACTCATAGATTTTGAGTTTATAAAACTTGTAAGGTCTTGTCATAGTAGTTATTAAGTGTTAGCTTACTTAATTTGGGAACCAGCGCGAAAACAGTGGGGTAAACCCCTTCAACATAAACATTGTTTTTTCGTGTAAAAATGTAGGGTTTATATAAATAACTTATTAAATTTAAGTTATTAAATCTTGACCGGTTGTGTCATGATGTTAATTAAGTGTTATATGACTTAATTATGGGAAAAGACACTTATCGTTTTTCAACAAATATTCATACTACATACACTCCTATTTCATATCGCATGAGTATCCAAACTACATATAAATACTATTTCAATTATATACGAGAGGGCGTGCTAGGTATAATGGTTTACTTATGTTATAACTTCTATACCTACACGAATTTAGGCACTCTTTGTTTAAGTGTTTCTGCTATTAAACATTGCAGAACTACTTGTAAAAGGTATAAGTTCACAAGTCGTAGAGAGTGAGTGGCGCTACATGAGGCTATAACCGTTACTATGATGTTCCTGTCTCCATAACCAGTGCTACATGGAGACCGCACCATAACAGTCGTTCGGACCCTTCATCATCGTCGGGAACAACCAAAACCATAGTCTTCTAGACCCTTCATCATCGCCAGGAAAACAAATAGGACCATTATCACCATTATGACTCGTCAAATAAGGTTGTAGCTAGCAACCACAGGTGGGGTTATCAACCCACAAAGATCATAATTTTATAATTCGCAAGACATGCTGGTATCTTTATAGCAATCTATTTATAATCTTGTGATTTCTCTCGATATTTATATTCATAATTTTCCGGAGGTATACATATATCATGTTTTAGCATTCGACTTTAACTTGTAAATTGTTTTTATGATTTTTCGCATTTTAGATTGCTATTTCACAAATTTTACCTAATAAAAATTTATGATGCATTTTAACGTATGAAACTTGAAAAGCATCAAAACTTCGATAGACATGCATGTATTCTCCCCAAAATGTTAAAAAAATAAAGGGGGGGGGGGTAGAAATTCACATTCGATGCGTCATCTCGATCTAGACTCTGTTTTGGTGAAGCTTCACGTGAGAAACTGCAGCTTGACGTCTTTTTTCAGTTAAAACAAAGTGTGGGACTATTTTTATAATATTTTAAACCAAAAGGACTTGTTTTGAAATACTTTATATTTAAAAAGCTGTTTTGTAATTTAACTAACACAAAGATAGTTTTTCTGATAAATTATATCCAAAAGGGACCATTTTGTAATGCTTAAATCAAATGGGATCTGGTTTGTAAGAATTTCTATCAAGTGACTGATTTTAATTTAAAACTACAATTGAAAGGACCGGTTTTGCCAAAATCACCAAAATACAAAGGGGTGCATCTTCTTTGTCTGATTGAGGGAAAAGGGATAGACAATCGAAGCAGTCGACTGGGTGCTCCGATGGTCAATGAAATCTGAGGAGAGAGAAGGGAGTCGAACCCCTACCGCCTTGTTCCCGAGTTCTACTTAAGGAGAGAAATGGGAGGATACGGAGGGAAAGTGAGGGGTGTCGAAGGAAAACCGTGTTCCCGAGTTTCATTAATGGAAGGAAAGTGAGGGGAGGGGAAGGATTTTGGAGCCATATTTTCCTTCCAAATTTTCCTCCCAAATTGGGCGGATTTGGGAAGAAAGTGAGGGGAAGGAAAATTTTAAGTTTTATTTTCTTTTTCCTCCTAACTCGGGAACACAAAACTTAAAATTTTCCTTTCATTTCCTTTCATTTCCTTCGAACTCGGGAACACGGAATAATGAATATTTTCCTTCACCTCCCTTTCTTTCTATCAAATTTTCCTTCCCTTTCCTTTAATGAATTTGCAAAAAAACTCGGGAACAAGCCGTACGAGATCCCCTCTCTTCTCTCGTCGGTGGCGGCCACAAATCTAGGGGAAAGGGAAACGACTAGACCGAAGGGAAAAGGAA